CCCCCCCCCCCCCCCCCCCCCCGGTGACATCTCTCCGACTGTTGCGATAAGAAACATTGAACGTACGCCCCGGGTTGAGTAGATGCGGGAAATCCGACAGGTGACGAATGCGCGCATATATTATTAGGGAATAATAAATGCACGCACAGAAAGACTACCCATTCGAGATAAATCCACAGTCGAATGGGATGTGGTGGAGTCTTTTCAGTGAGTGGAGGAAAACCGGCTGGCTAGATACTGAACGTTTTTCGAGTCTTTTTAAGTTTACAGATGGCGCTCGCACTTAAGAACCTCTAGTTTCGGCCGAGGTTGGGGTTCTATTTTGCTGATCATCCTCTTGTGGGTTACAAATGGCAGCTTATGGGTTATATTTAGTGTGGGGTTCTTAACCGAGGTCACAAATGGTGCTCAAGTTCTGAGCTGATTTTTTGCGAGTCTCGATTTCTTAACTGCTAAGTTCTTAACCCCCTTACCACGCACAGAAAATTCGGCGTTCTTGCGAAATTTCTGAAATGTAAGAAAAAGAGCGAAAGACGCCTGCTGATGGGATGGTGCAGACAGTTCCATCCCTGGGTGCAAGTGCAAAGCTGCCTTCCCACTTGAGCCGTATCTTGTCTATAATCCCTATCAAATGTCCCCTCGATCGAGGGGACATTTGATAGGGATTGTTATAGACAACAACTGGCGGGAGCGTGGTAAACGGGGCGCGAAAAGGAGGTTTTCAATATATTTCTCTAGAGGGAAAGCGAGACCTTCTAACCCAAGCAAGCCCTAGGTTGCCCGGTGCGTCCTATCAACGGTGGGCTAGGTACTTCTTGCGCGCTTGCCCCTAGTAGCGCTTTCCATCCAAGGGTAGACAGACGCACCGCAACTTCACTGTTGAACCCGCGGCGTAATCGCCCCCCGATTCGACCTGTTCATAACCCTTATACTCCTCCACTCTACGAAGCATCCATACTAAACTAGAGTCGTCCCCGTGTACCCTGGCACCCCCGTGGTCGAGTAGTTCAAGGGAGGGGACAATCGTGCCATTCTTCGCGAGGTAAAGCAGGTGAAGAAGATGGGGACAAAAAGTGTCCCCAAAAGGCGATGTAGTCCTAAAGGGGTCAAGTGCGGGCGCTATCTGTATAGTCTACACTGATGATTTTTATCAGTAATGCCAGCTGGTGCGAAGTCCAAAAACATCTGTGTAGGTAACCTACATTTTACAATACATCCCTTGTAGCTACTGGGTCAACGACAAAATATCGGGCAGAATCCCTCCGTTGTGTCGTGTGTTGTGTATACCTTTGGTGTTGATCCCCCCGAGACCTGCGTTTTTTCTGTTGTGCCGATGCGTATG